GAAACCACTGATCCATCGGCTCAGGCTTGTGCTTCTCTACCTTTCTTTTTATGTTGTTAATTTGCAGAATAGAATCTTCAACAAATCTCGAATGTACAAACACATTTGATTTGATGAAACAATTATTCCCTTATATTAAGCACTTCTTCTCAACACTTTTATTTCTCATATACAGTGTTATATATAGTGGTATATAGTAGTCATATAGTCCACTGCAGGACCCCACGTGAGTGGGACTAATAAATGCCGAAGTGAAGAAAAAAGAAGAAGTGTCTTTCAAAATCATGCAGACAAGAAAAATACGCTGAACAGTTTCTTCAATGAAGCCACACAGCAAATAAATAGAAAATAAAAATATTACTCCACGAATTGTCATGCATCACAACGTATTAACCAAAGGTATTTTATTTCTATAAAACTTAACATCAATGGCGCATACATTTACAATTCTCAAATCACATTCATTGCCTGCCAAATTTAGCAAATCCAGAAATTAACATTTTTTATTCTTCACTTTACATTCAGTACTCAAGTATATCAAAACCCATTTTAATAATGAACTTATCAAATTGTAGTTCAAACTCATCATGTTTTATGTCATTTATCATTATTGCTCTAATATTAGGCTGTATATAGACCAAACTTTCGATCGTAGCAATTCTATATTAAATTTTTGTTTCCTACTAAGAACTCCCCGCTCTGTCCGACCTCCACATCAGGAGTCTATCACGCCATGCGTTCAGCCATCATGATTCGTCAGTACTTCATCTCGGAAGAATATGTTCTGTCACCTTCAAGCCTGCCATGTCGTTCTCGGTTGTTTATTGGAACATTATTTAAATGAAGCTCTCTGGTACGGGGCTCCGGACCTTCGAACCATTGTTGGCTTCAATAGTGTTGTCCTTCGGAAGACACCCATAATCGGTTAGTGCATCAACCGTTCCAGGAGATGCTGTCGCAGGCAACGGTGTCCACAACGCGTAACATACTGTCTTCGTCCGTACCGTTATCTTAGGGTTCGAACGAGAAGAGCGAGCAAAGCACAGTAAAACCGCTTGACGTTTGGTGTTGTGTGTGGCGTGCCATCGTTGTTGATGTGTGTGGTGTGTCGCGGCGTGCGTTGTGTGTGTGTGACTGTGCTGTGGTGGTTGTGTGTGTGTGAAAAGTGTGTGCGTGGCTGGCGTGTGATCACGTGTGTGTATGGTTGCGTCTGGCGCGTGTGCTGTATCTCTCTCTCTCCTCTCTTCTCTGTGGTGCGTGCGCGGTGCCGTACGTGCGTGCGTGCGTGCGTGAGTGTGAGAGAGAGTGTGTGCGAGTGTGTGGTGCGCGGACGCTGTTTGTGCGGATCTCTCTCTCTCTCTCTCTCTCTCTCTCTCTCGTCTCTCTCTCCTCTCCCTCTCTCTCTTCTGTGGTGTGTGTGCGTGGTTGTGTGTGTGTGTGGTGGTGTGTGTGCGCCGTGTGCGTGTGCGTGTGCGTGCTGCCGTGCGCGTGGCGCGTGCGTGCGTGTGTGTGTGTAGCGCATATAGGCAAGGAGGTATGAAGTGAGTGCGAAACAAGTGAAATGTCACATAGTTCGATTAGTAGCGCGATATTCGCTGCGGCAATTGTTACAGCCGACATTTGTCCGAGGACGACGAAGCCTTTACCCGTGAGGCGTACGACATGTCTATTTATAACGGCTAGACGTACATCCATACTATCGTCGACTGATTAAAAAGCAGTGCGATTCTTTATACACCGGCTGATAAGAAATACGACGTGAGTCGCTCGTACCGCCTTCTTCGATCATTCATCCTGCATTAAAACGTATAATATATAGTCACATGCGGAATTAAAGTGCTGTACTGAATGGCTGGGGTGAAGTGAAACAGGGTCACTGGATGGGTGGCCGGCGGCGGCCGCGCTGCTGCTGCTACTATGCTCATTATGTTTCATTGTAATCAGTGCTAAATACATATGATTTATGTATGCATTTATATACATGTGTAGTAATCGTTTATGATTCTTCTTTAAAACAAAAATATTTTGTGCAAAATGATCCCCCTTGATGCTACGGTCTCACTTGCGCTATGTACAACTTGCGGTACACTTGCGGTACAACTTGCGGTACACTTGCGGTATGTGCGCTTGCTCAACGTACCGGGGAGTTAACGTACCGTAACGTACCATTAACGTACTGGAACCTACTTCTCAGCGGTATTGGCAACCTAGCGTAACGTATCACAACGTACCGGCTAACGTACCTTATGCATAGTTAACGTCGATCTAGCCGTGGCGGCCATTTAATTTTTGAACATGCTCAAAATTAGGGTACGTTAGCTGGCGTTAATGATAACGTACCGTAGCGTATCAGAACGTACCGTAGCGTATCAGAACGTACCTTAGCGTACCTTAACGTATTGGCTAACGTACTGACACGTACCGATACGTACCGCTATGTATCGCTAGCGTATCGACACTTCCGTCAAACGAGTGAGGAGTGACGTGAGTAAGTGAGTGAGTGAGTGAGTGAGTGAGTGAGTGAGTGTGAGTGAGGAGTGAGTGAGTGAGTCGAGTGAGTGGCAGTGAGTGATGAGTGAGTGGAGTGAGTGGGTGAGTGAGTGAGTGAGTGAGTGAGTGAGTGAGTGAGTGAGTGAGTGAGTGAGTGAGTGAGTGAGTGAGTGAGTGAGTAAGTGAGTGGGTGAGTCAGTGAGTGAGTGAGTCAGTGAGTGACTCAGTGAGTGAGTGAGTGAGTGAGTGAGTCAGTCAGTCAGTCAGTCAGTCAGTCAGTCAGTCAGTCAGTCAGTCAGTCAGTCAGTCAGTCAGTCAGTCAGTCAGTCAGTCAGTCAATCAGTCCCCTATTTTTGCCAATTTTTGCATACCATCACGCTCCTGGACTTTGAAATCATAAGCCATCTGCCCCCAGATTTCAATCTTTGCACTTGTCTTCAAGAAGTCTGGGTGATTCTTGTCATAGAGGTTCCGGCGTTGGCTTCACGTAGCCGAAGACTTGGTCCTCCTGAGCTGTCGTGAACTTCAGTCCACTCTGTCCTGGTTTTCTTCTCAGTCTTCTTCTGAGGAGCCGTGGCCTTGGCCCGCATGCCAGCCCCTCAACCCTGTAGAGCTGCTCAGGCGTAGGGCTCCCTCTGCTGGACTGTCTGCCCTCCTCCTCCTCCTCCTCCTCCTCAACCTGCGTCATATCTCCCTCTTTGACCTCCCACCTCACCTCCTGCTCTGACACCTGAAGAACTGTATGTCTTCCCTCTTCCCTTGCTTTTCCACTTTTGCCTCTAGCCATGTTAGAAATTTGAAGAAAATATTTGGAATAAAACTGATGAAGGTCTGATGCTGGTGAAGCTAGAATGCAAAATTGGCGACCCTGTACTGTACCGCATGCGGTAGCGAAATAACCCAGGCGCATGCGCGTTAACGTAGTGGCTAGCGTACCATACACGTACCTTAGCGTAGCGACATGTAGCGCAGTGCGTATGCACAGCTTATCACAGTGTACCGGCTAACCTAGCGCAACGTACCTTAATGTACAGTAAGCCTACCACTACACGCACATTAACACCAAATTAGCGTAGCACAGCGCTACTGTAACCTAGCGCAACGTACCTTAACGTACCTCTACACACTCCTTACCAGTCATTTGCAGATTTTTAACCTACCTCAGTGTACCGTAGTGTACTACACACGTACCTAACGTACCTTATGCACCCAAATTCCTGATACGCTGAGGTAGGTTAATTAACGCAAGTGAGACCGAGGCATGACTCTCTTTACAATATTAATATTCTTTTCCAAAGGGTCCCCCCTTAGTCTCTACCAGGGGAGTAGGCCCCCTCAAATCGTAGGCCCATGCCAACTGGCCTACCTGCCCCCCTCTGTTCTGGCCTGTATATATACTATTACTTACTATAGACGCTGTCTACTACTAGACTACACTCTAACTCAGTAGATAATAGTAATTATTAGTCTTAACAAGTTACAGTCATGCCTGCAGACGTTTTTATGCCTTAAAATTTTTTTATGGTCATCACCTATTATATAACCTATTATAACCTATTATAGACAACACATTAATTTAGAATATACACAATAAAATGTGGAAAAATAAGAGTTTTTTCTCTCCAGCTAATCTATCTCAATTTTGGGGGTGGGGCAGTTGAGGGCGTCTGGCGGATACACCCACCACTGAATTATTCTGGCAGTGGCCATTCACGATACCTGGGACTATGCTGAACATTTTCCAATGCGTGCCAGAAGTTTCCTTTCCAGCTGATCTAGCTCAATTTTGGGGTATCGGTTTTAGCTCTGGCGCATGCGCCCCACCACTAAAAAATTCTGGCAGTGTCCATTCTTGATACCTGGGACCATGCCGATCATTTTTCAATGGGTGCTAGAAGGTTTCCTTTCCAGTCTAAGATCTAGCTCAATTTTGGGGGTGGCGGCAGTTGGGGGCGTCTGGCGAATACACCACCACTGAATTATTCTGGCAGTGGCCATTCACGATACCTGGGACTATGCTGAACATTTTTCCAATGCGTGCCAGAGGTTTCCTTCCAGGCTTAATCTAGCTCAATTTTGGGGTATCGTTTTTTAGCTCTGCGCATGCGCACACCACTAAAAAATTCTGGCAGTGTCCATTCCTGACACCTGGGACCATGCCGAACATTTTCCAATAGGTTTCATGGGGTTTCCTTTCCAGCTAATCTAGCTCAATTTTGGGGTGCCTTTCAAATGACCCCACTGACCACACCCACCAGCGGCTACCTGCCAGACTTACATTTCCTTACATGGGTAGTACACGAATCATTGCTATATGCATGAAAAATTGGTTTCCTTTCCAGCTAGGCTGACCCCCTGGGCTCCCGTCTACCAGGGTACTATGGAGGGTACCCTGTGTACGGTTCGATATATCGGAAAGTACCTCGGGGTACTATACGATATGTCGCTGCGCACCCTGCATTGTCCCACCGACTTTCAGCCAACTGATGTCGTAATACATACACTCTGTCAAGTTACCACATCACATAGAAGAAACCTCAAAACATCGCAATCCACTAAAAATGTATGCTATGTTTGACTATATTTTCTTTTCTTTTTTTTAAACGAAGAGCTAGCTTTTATATTTTTAGTTTACAACATCGGAAATACTTAGGCACGGCCAGCTCTACGTTAGCAATTCGATTACGAAAAACATATATCGGGAAAAAAAACGACGCGAGGAACATACGTCGTGAATGTAATATCGGGGAGATATAACATATATCGTGAATTCATGCGGTGGATACGTTCCTCAAGTGACGTGCACAGATTCGATATGAAATTACGCGGCCGGCATTAAATTAATTACCAGCCAGTGCATGCACAACGGGTCGACTGAGAATGGCGCGCATGACGTTCTAAAATACTAGCGCACGTCATTCGGACACATTTCCGCCGGATTATGAAGAGTAAATTCGCGCGAAATTTTTTTCACCGTGTACGTTTTTCATCAGCGGAGTTACGTACAGACATGTCTTTTCATCCAGCCAACGCTGTAACAACTAGCTCGCTCTGATTTCTTTAACCACGTTTATTCCTGTAAAAACTATGCTTCCTGTAACAACTATGTTTCCTGTAAAAACTATGCTTCCTGTAACAACTATGCTTCCTGTAACCACTATGCTTCCTGTAATAACTATGCCTCCTGTAACCACTATGCTTCCTGTAACCTAATGCTTCCTGTAACAACTATGCTTCCTGTAACACTATGCTTCTGTACAACTATGCTTCATGTAATAACATATGCTTCCTGTAACAACTACGCTTCCTGTAATAACTATGCTTCCTGTAACCACTACAAGGGCGTCGGAACTGCCGCGGCAGCCGCATCTTTCAATAATTTATACCGTCTTTTGGCCATCATGTATATACGTGTAATCTAGGCCCCTATAAGCGGAGACCAGGGTCAGATGAGGTCAGGTCAAGGGCGTGTACGGGGGGGTCAGGGGGTCCGGACCCCCCTGCTCGGGCAGAACACGCATCTGAGGGGGTATAATTTCAAATTTTTCGGGGGAGGGCCCCAGAACCCCTTCGCGTGCTCGCAAGTATGTCTTACGGTTAGACCCCCCCCCCCCTGGTCCAAATCCTGTACACGCCCCTGCAGGTCACCTGTAGCTATAAAATTTTATGATCCAGAACTCCCGTCTACTCCTGATTCTATGCAGGCAGCATGCCGTTGCATTATATTGAGGGAGCATGCTTTGCCCGGGGTCGCGGCGTTTCATGACGAATATTAACAGTTCGTTTGTGAGCACCAGTACAATTCTATGCATGTCTTGAATGGAATGTATTTCAGGAAGTTTTACCAAAGATTATTCCACTGTTAAAGTGAGAAAAATAAATTTGGAGTTTTTGGTCATTATTGAAATATTTTAATTCTATGTTAAGCAACAAATCTTTCAAATCATCATGTATTTTTCTAAAATTACAGTGAAAACACACTTTTTTGTGCTAAATCACAATGCTCAGAATGCACCAGAGCCGACCATTTGCCTTGTAGATTTCAAAATTTTTACGGGGGAGGGCATGCCCCAGACCCCCCTAGGGGTGGCTTGGCCTCCCCTGGGCTCGCCCTATCACCAAAGCCGCGGCACTATTTTATTGCTTCCGACGCCTTTGCACTATGCTTCCTGTAACAACTATGCTTCCTGTAACCACTATGCTTCCTGTAACAACTATGTTTCCTGTAAAAACTATGCTTCCTGTAACAACTATGCTTCCTGTAACCAATATGCTTCCTGTAATAACTATGCTTCCTGTAATAACTCAGGGGCGTGTACAGGGGGGTGTCCAGGGGTCGGACCCCCCCCCCCCCTGCTCGCACAGAAAACGCATCTAAGGGGGTCTAATTTAAAAAAAATTCTGGAGGAGACCCCACTTTGCGTGCTCGCAAGTTTGGGTTACGGTTAGACCCCCCCTGATACAAATCCTGTACACGCCCCTGTAACTATGCTTCCTGTAACCACTATGCTTCCTGTAACAGTGTAACCACTCTGCTTCCTGTAACCACTAGTCTATGCATGCGTCAGAATATTGAGAAGAAACGGCTATCAGCGCGCGCCACGCTAATGCATCTACAGTGGGTTCAAAGGGCCATTACTGAGCTGAATAAAATATGAGGTATCATTGCAGTGAACATGAGAGCACATCCGCCTTCATTAGGCCCGGTGTCAAGTGTCAGCCGTGTGCGGTGAGCCAGCATGTCGTGTATGTCAGCAGATAGTTTCGTTAAAGATGTCTTCCCACGCACATTTTTTGTAACAAACCACTGTAAAAGCGTAAGTAAATAATTCACTACACTTTAACTGAACGTTAGCTTTGAAAATAAAACTGTAAAAATATGTATCCAGCCTATATTTGCTAAACGAAAATACAACTCGAAAATCACTTTTCGCCACGGTTCTGTATAATGGCGGTTCTGTCTAAATGCTCATTTAGTGATGACGACGTAATACATCACAACATCGCCGCAGAGCAGCAAAAGTAAACGCTGTTCAAAACATTCGAGCTGACACTTTCACTTTGTAGCCTAAAAGCATTGAATGAACGTATTCCCGAGCAATATTCTTTTTTACCTATCACACATATATATGCAAGTACAAACGTGCAATGTTAAAATAATTCATTTTTGCCACTTGAAATTTCATGGGAAAACACCTTTAAAATGTGAGTTATCATTTCGCGTTTCGCAGCGCGCGCTCTCATCCGCAAACTGCAACAGCAGCCGACAAAAAACGACGAACGCGAAAGCGCGCAGCATACCCTGTAAACATCGATTCGTGTGTGAAATATGACTCTGCGTGCTGCCAACGAAGGCAACAAATTTCCATATTTTCAGCAATTATTTTAAGCAGACGAGTTTTTTGTTCGCACAATCGCCAATTAAGTTCAAGCAAAAAACATTGTTTAAAAAAATAGTGCTAATTTATGTAACAGAAACGCTGAGAAGTCAAGTTTATTGACGTGATAAAACAGTGAATGAGTAAGTTCATTATAAATTATATAAAATTTCATACAAACACAAGTTACATTTTTTACATGACGATTAACGAAACTGATAATGCACGTTTTTATATACGATTACAAGATACAGCAACAGGAAGGAATGTAGTTTTAAGCCAATATGAATTAGTCAGTCAGCATTAGGTCAGTAAATGACCCTCATCCTACTCATTAGAGCATGGGAGCTTGCTAACAAATAACAGATGCATGCTCCGTGCGCCAGCCATAGAAATAAGTAACAAACAATATTCTGCATTCATAAAATTAAGTGTTGATTAACAGCTACAAAATCTGCCAGCAACAAATCTTCCACACTTACTTAGACGAAAACATATACAGCAGAGCTACACACGTATTCGTATACACCCAGTCTAACAACAACATAAACAGCAGTAAATGACAATTATGTACAAATTAATGACCTATACTACTTTCAGTGCATAAACGCTTAGCATGCCTTGATATTTGTAACTGTGGTCACAACCTTGTTTTTATGATTTTGCATTTATTTTTAGCATAGAACCTAAGCAAAAATTACTCACAAGTACCGAAGACAGCCTTAATAATTATGAGATTTTTAAAGGTAGATGTGCACCATAAGAATTTACTGCTGCTGGCTATTTTATGTACGTGCAGACAAATTAATATTGTTCAGTCTGATCGGTCCTGCCACCTGGTGACAAAATGTAGGATTACCTGTATTTGCTGAGTAATGTCTCAATTTCATTGTGAGCAACTTCATCCTGAAAAGTACAAACTCAACATGCTTACATGTAACCATTGCTCAGTTATATACAAACAGGATATATTCCTGTATTTTAATTATTCATAATAACTTGCACATTTGTTCACAGATTCAATAGTAAGTTTTGCCTACTAGTGTTACTATCCATAATTATAGTGGTTCTAATAATTTTCACACTTCTAAAGCAGATATACCAATCACTGAAGTTTTGCGCAATGGCAATACTTACATCGGTATCATTAATTGGCATGTTGAAGGCTTTTTCCAACCAATCTGCTGCATTTTTGTAGTCATATTCTGCTGCATAGCACTGTATAAACAAGCACCACATCAGTACACAATAATCACAATACAGGGTTGTTTTGCTCTACATGAGGCATTTTGAATAAAAGTTTCAATCACAAGAAATTTCTATTATTACATTTAGCATAATAAATAAAGGATGAGTTGCATTTAAAATGGCTTTACAGACTATCACGACCAATAGTGCATTTTGTGTGTGTGTGTGTGTGTGTGTGTGTGTGTGTGTGTGGGGGGGGTGTGTGTGTGCATTGATGACCGAAATTCTGAGCTGACCTTAGCAATGTAGAGAAGGTTCTCTTTCCAGGATTCTGGTTGGATCTCCTCTGCCTGTGACACAGTAGACACAAAGAATATCAGACAGAGACATATAGAGATTTTTTCTGAATATAATTTATTACTATTACATTTAACTGATATTCATGATTAATTCTTCAATTAATATGTGATGTGATGTGTGTGACTCGAGATTGCTGTTAAGACGTTTGTTACCGATGGCTTCCACAATAAATGCCAAATTTATCTGAAGATTATAACAAAACATAATATATTGGTGTGTTAAACGAATGCTCCTTATATTAACCTTTAATGGTTACCTATAAATATGATCTTAAACATTAGGGAACAACATTAGATACCTTGAGGAAATAGTTTCTGGCCTCTGCCACCGAGGATTCAATTGGTGCACCCAACAAAGTGTTAGCAACTTTCTTTTCAAACCATGTCAGCATGGCCACCTGTATATAATGTGGAGAAGAACCTGAGTGGTGAAATATACTAAATTGAACATGAAAACTACTGAACAAAATATATACTGATATAAATGAACTGGGACGCATGACAGTGCAACACTTGGGAAATCACAGTCATTACACTAAAATAGTTTACAATCAGTGGTTCTTAACCTTTTTTGATTCATGGAACCCTTTGAGAATCTGGTGCAAGCTAGAGACCCCTCCCCAGAAAATGCACATAAGCACATAAACACAAACTTTTGCATGCGCCTGGTTCACAGACCCCCTGAAGCCCATCCACGGACACCAAAGCGGTCTATGGCCCACAGGTTAAGAACACCTGCTACTTACATAGTTCCTACAAACATTTAGTTGAACTAATTCTTCTGCTCTATACAGTCATATTTAGTTTAAGGCTATTATTTATAACTACAATACCATAGATAGATAGATAGATAATAGTAGGTTTCAGGGGAGAGATAGTGAATATAGAAATAAGTTTTGGATATAAAAATCAGTTAACCCTAACCCTAACCCTAACCCTATCTTTAATTCTAAAATAAAACAAAATTAGCCAAAAAAAATAAATTAAAAAATAAATAAAAGACAAAATTAGCCAATCAGCGGATCACTATCTCACCCCTGTGCAAAATTCGATAGATAATAGGTTTATTGCATAAATAGTGTTAACAGCGTTACAATTAAAATAAATTTTGCAAACAAGATATCATCGGGCAGTATAAAACTGAAATTGATGATATTTACAATAATATATGTCCCATGGATATGGACATAGATATCACTTAAAATGTTGGTTCATAAAATTATATCACTACAACCAAAACCCATCTTTAGAATATATACTAAATTTAAAATGGGCCTAATGCAGCAGCCTTATTATATAGAAATTCATTCCCAAACAATCAGACATAAATACAAAATGCTAATAAACTGCAGTAAAATTACCGAATAGCACCAACGTCCTAGGAGATGAAGGACTAAAGAATCCTTTGGCTGCAATTTGAGTGCTATCTCACAGTGCTCCTAGAAAGAAATTGTATACTGTTATCATGCGAGTATTTCAAATTCTACTACTTTCATTGCGATCCTAAATGAGTGTCAATGACACTATAGCTCACCTTGGGTGTGATAGAAAAGGGAGATGATATTTAAAATTTGCCGAGTGTTTCATTTATGACAGACCAAAATGTGATCAAATGTCCTTATTCCCTGTTTTATACGAATATAAATTTCACTGTTTTGTTTCAGGGTTAGTTTTGATGTGAAAATAAATGTTTCAGATCTGAAAGTCTGAAATCTGGGCGAGAGATGGCGTTACGCCTAAATGATCGCCATTTCGGTTTTCGATTATCGCGCAAATAAAATATTCCAGTCAAATTACTGTAGCGAAGAATCTAAAACACAATATTACACGTAGGTATAATTAGGTAGGTAGGTAGGTAGGTAGGTAAATTTAACAAAATCGAATGAATCTAGATGGCCATAAATTTCTATTTTTGCCAAAAAGTGGCGTGGCTCGAAAGTAGGTCGACTAGCGTGCTCCAAAATAGGACGTTCAAATCTCTCCCATAGGAGTAACAACTGTATGCAATTTGAAACATGTGGGTCAAACGGTTCTTGAGTTATTGTTGACCGTAGGCAGATACTTAAATGCATAGTGAAATTGACAAAAATCTACCTAATTTGCATAATTAAAAAAAAAATCAAAACCCCTGTGATATGTTTTGGGGCCAGTCCTTATTCATTCACATACCAAAAATTAGCAAAATCCGTTGAACCTGAACTGACTTATGGCCATTTCCATTTTTGCCAAAAAGTGGGCGTGGCTCGAAAGTAGGTCAACTGGCGTGCTCCAAAATAGGACGTTCACATCTCTTTCATAGGAGTAGCAACTGTATGCAATTTGAAACATGTGAGTCAAATGGTTCTCAAGTCATCGTTGACCGTAGCCAAATGTTGACGGACAGACGGACGGACGGACGGACGGACGGACGGACGGACGTATGACAGACGACACCCCATGGCAATAGCTCATCTTGACAATGTCAAGGTGAGCTAAAAATGCTACACAGAAACTGCTGGGATGTCACATGCCATTATGTGAGTGGAAAAACAGGTTGCATGTTGCTGTTTTCTTACCATTGACATCAAATCACAGAGGCTGGGCCGCTGGTAGTTAGGATGACTGATAGCATACAGTGAAATAAAGGATCAATACAGTGTAGCAAACACCATAAAGGCTCATGATAAGAAAGCCGATTTTAAATAAAGTCAACAGGTTATATCTGTACCTTGAACTGATAGCCATTTTTGATCTTTTGCTGAGTCCCAACATAATCACTTAAACTTCCTAAAGTCACTGCGCACCTAAAAATAATAGCAACCTGAGCAAATTTGCAATATGTATATGATTAACTGATAACTTAAACTGTTACACTTTTCTGGAATTCCACAATTCACAAAATTTAACTAATACACAAAATTTAACAATGTGTTTGTTTAAAAATTATAATGAGCCTTAACGTAAGTTCATTGAGTAAATTAATAGCATTTTAATTGGAAAATAAAATTTCTAATTAAAAATTAAAAAATTAAAAATTAGAATTTTAATTGATATATAATATCAGGAGTAGATAATAGGGAGGAGTGTGACATCAATAAACAAGGGAAATTGGTCATTTACTAGCCTTATAATACCTACGATTTACTACGGTAAAACTGCATCAACTTGAGCTCAAATCGGACACAGTACATTCGCCAATCATCGTGCGAAATCGTTTCCTCGTAGACACCCGCAATCCGGAGATACAGCCTAAAACGTACGACACGATTCTCCATTCTTTGGCCATCAATCCAGCCCATTGCGCGCCTATAATTCAGACAAAAGGCAGCAACACTGCCGCGCAGTCGCTGTGTTGCTCTCTCGGATAGCTGAATGTGGCGTTGTGGCTCGCGGGGAGATTGGAGATCGACGCAACACTCGACGACTAATCATGCGGTTGGCGTGCGTGCGTGAAGGCATCCAGCTATGTACAAAGGTGGCCTGTGTAGCTGTGTACCGGGTCAAAGGTTATCTCGCCGAGTGTTGATGCCTAATCTCCCAGCGAGCCACATGCCTCGCTCAGTTAGCAATAGCGCATTAGGTATAGGCGCGCAATGGGCTGGATTGATGGCCAAAGAATGGAGAATCGTGTCGTACGTTTTTAGGCTGTATCTCCGGATTGCGGATGTCTACGAGGAAACAATTTCGCACGATGATTGGCGAATGTACTGTGTCCGATTTGAGCTCAAGTTGGATGAGTTCGCGTAGTAAATCGTAGGTATTATAGGCTAGTAAATGACGAATTTCCCTTGTTTATTGATGTCACACTCCTCCTATTATCTACTCCTGATAAATATATATATATATATATATATATATATATATGAATGCTTACCATTTATGTACATCAGCTGAATTACTCCTAAGTTCTAATGCAGCACAAGCATACTCGTTTGCTAGTAAATGCATGAAAAAATGGACAGTCAATTAAATGTCACGATCAATATGGATGAGACACAGCAAGTATAGATAAATTGAAGTGTAAACACATAAGCTCATTATCCAGCTGGACTACCAGTGTAACATATTTTATTTAAAAAAGGTCACTGAAGCCATAGAAACAGTAAGTACACACAAATCGGTGACATGCTAATAAGCTGTATAATATCCTAACTTTTAGGAATTGTATATATATAATATTATATATTATATTATATATAATATATATGCCAATTGTACAGAGAGCAAATTTGACCTTCACTAATATGTTTGTCAATGTTATTTTTTAAGAATTCAATACAAGCCTATATACCATTTTCAGATTGGAATAATTACTTTACCTTATTCGAATAACAACCTTAAAAACACTTATAATGTATGTGTGCCAGAAATCCATCCAATGAAAAAAAAAATATATATATAATTAAATTATTTTCACTTTGATGTTTAAACTCACCTTTATATGCCAACTGCTTTTTCTGTTCCTGATCAGACCTCTCACCTACGATTTGAGCATATAAGTGTGTAGCTTTTGCCAAACGCCAGAGAAATTCGTGATCTTTGGAATACTAGAAAAAGTACAGTATTATCTAATAACTATATATATATATATATATATATATATAATATATATATATAATATATATATATATATATATATATATATATATATATATATATATATTATATATACACATAACAGAGATGGATACAGAGAGAGAAGAGACAGAGAGACAAAGAGAGAGATGGAGATTGAGACGGTAGATGCGTGCGTGAGTGGGTACATGTGTGAGTGCCTATGTACATAAAAGAACCACTTGTCTGTTAATACATGCAGCATGATATCATAAAGCCTAGTACAGGGTTTCTTACAAATAAGAGGCACAGTGGCGCACTGCCATTGTCAAATTTAACATCACCATTGTGAAAATGAGCCAAAGACATTCAAATTTTTAACATTTTGCAGGGGGAGACCCGCCAGTTCCCTCTCTCTCTCTCTCCCCCCCGCGTCCGCTTGCAGCGTCCGCATGCGTGCCTATGGCACGCCTTTGAATCCATCATGCGCGTTTTCCCCCAAACTGGCCATTACCTCATTTGTCTAATTTTCCTTCAGTAGAAACCCTGTAGTAGAACATGCAATCACACAGACTGAGCACTCAATAGTGAAATTTTCGTGTTTTTTTAAACATCAAACCTAGCTATAAGATTAAAGCTAAATTATTGCTTAGCTAATCAGAATACATCAACACAAGATGCCACTGACATAAAATGCTATTTAACACTTCACAACATCTTCAACTTAAAGCATGGGCTTTGAAGAGAAACCACACACCATACCCATAAGACCTATATTAAAGGCTCACAATGTGCATCCAAACGCTAATTTCTACAGTACTAGACTAGCAAATACTTCGTGGCATGAATAATCACACTACCTATGACAAAATAAACCTAGCTCCTCCAATTTCACTGGCGCTTGTCTTATAAAAGGTATTTTGAAAATACCTCCAATGTTGTTGAAATTCTCCGATGTGTTGACAGTTCCCCAATCTCAACGCAACCGTGCAGCCGGTGGCGCGTAAAGCGGTATCGGGCGCAGCAAAGATAGAAACATGTTGACGTCACCAACCAAGTCGATGTTATGTTGTTTTGAAACAAGTTAGCGTTGGCGCCTGATTACCTGATTTCGCACCTCTTTCTTGTTGGGAACGCGCAGTCAAATGGGAGGAACTAGAGTTTATTTTGTCATAAGGTAGTGTGATTATGCATGCCACAAAGTAGTTGCTAGTCTAGTACTGGAGAAATTTCAGCGTTTGGATGCGCATTGTGAGGCTTTAATAACTCATTTTATGCCAAAAACACCACAGACAAATGCTTAGCTCGCATATCTGACAGTCATTTTAAAAGTTGCATGCGAAAGTAACAGTAAAGGGCAGGCTAGCTGAATTCTAAAATGGGTATGTGTACCTGCGACTTTACTTCGTAGAGAATGTGATATGCTTTGATCTTCTGCTCTGCATTTCCATCCATCAGCTGATCGACGCTGACAAATAGCTGAACAGCGGCACTCTCAACGAGTCCGTTCGCAGACCCGTCGACGACATCCGACTCAGAGCGCCAGGTGCCAACCAGCTCCCTGCAATACACACTCTGCGTGAATAACCCGTGAATGTCACTGCTCAACGATAGTGACTGTTTCACCACACACGATTTGACAGGTGACACGATAGAAACATCCCACCGGCTGGCTATTGAATACTGATGCACATTTTAATAAATAATCCAAAAATAAATATATATATATACACATGTGCGTGTGTGTGTGTCTGTGCTTGCATGCTTGCGTGCCTAACATAACAGTAGGCAATTGATACTGAACGTCTCATACTGCATGCCAGCTTTAGCCATTGTGCATACCACATAGGACAGCTAGCCTTTGCATAACCATATGACACCTTGTTACGTTGTTTGAGATGGGAATAAAATAATGTACAGGGGAGCTGAGAAGTAAACAAGACAAGCCAGGAAACTAAGATTTTGTTACGTGAGGAACCACGAGGTTGTGATAAACAACTCTACATGGACAACATGCACGTGCTTTATATATATCACTCATCATCTCCTGCCACGAATATATTTACACAATTATCACCTGATTTCCTCGATAACAAACGTTACTCAAGACTGGAGAACAGATTTATTAATTTGAACAAAACTCCGCGTTGTGTAACATCATGAGTAACTAATACTAAGGGAGTAATACTCATGCATGGGAACTGGGAATAAATTTTTTCGAGCAATCTGCTAAACACAGCGATGCATTACCCTCTTGGAGGCTGGGGCCCCCAAGCTTGGGCTCCAAAAGCTGCATGGGTCTAAACGCTTAGTTAACAATAACAATTAATTATTGGTCAATTTTTGAGCCACATTTGGTGGCATATCCAAGCAGCTCTCAATTTCCAAAGCCACCCCAGTTTGTGGTTAGAAAATGTTGTCCAGAAAGACATGATACAAGATTGCGTGGCACAGCTTTGCTGTTGATCCTAAGCGCTGCGCGCGGATGAGACGCGCAGTTCCGCGGGATATGCGCACGCGACCGCGGGGATGTTCAAGTATGAAGCGCTGTCCGCAGTGGAGACGTGCGCCTAATTCGAGGGCCAGCGCACGTCTCCACAGCGGTCAACGGATGGTCTGTAGTTTTAGAAGATGACAATGATTATATATGGACGATATTCTAGGAATTGGAGATTATAATCCATACGTTCATTAATCCTATAACACTAACAGTAACAAAAATCGATCAGTCATACTCCAGATTAGCTGAATCAAAAAGATTAGAATTTAATATGAACAAAACAAATACAATGGTTATAAAATTCACCAACAAAGAAAGGATAGAAAAGGAGATATTAATAGGCAACCAAGTAATCAAAAAATGCACCAAATATTCATACCTAGGGGATTTAATTAATGATATAGGAGGTTATAACGATCTGATAAGAGTTCGAACTGAATGAAAGTGTCAATGACACTGTAGCTCACCACAAAAAAGGACACAAATGAGTGAGTAAGAAGAAGTCAGTTTTAATTGAGCAACCATCGACGTACATTATAGAAACGATTGCCATCTGTATATCGCAATAATAATTTATAAACCAAAATGAATCACAATTTGTGACCGTAGATGGCGCTATACCCGCTTTGTAGCGATGGCGTTTGAAATAAATAGGTTATGCCGCGTTCCGACATGTTTTGTAAAACTTTACTCTAATATAGACGTTTTATCGGCAGGGTGGAGAGGAAATACCAATTTTGCATTAAAGATATTGTCAATGAAATCTTGTAAAACGAACCAGACGAGTGTGACACCACAGATTGTTTGTGTCTATATAATATGCTATATAATTGCCAAACCCTACCTAATTTGCATAATTTTTTTTTAAATATCAAAACCCCTAGCCCTTATTCATTCACTTACCAAAAATGAGCAAAATCCGTTGAACCTGAACTGACTAATGGAAATTCCCATTTTTTCCAAAAAATTGGCGTGGCTCGAAAGTACGTCGACTGGCGTGCTCCAAAATAGGACGTTTAATATGGGAGCATAGCAGTAACAACTCTGCCCAATTTCAAACATGTGGGCCAAACGGTTCCTGAGTTATCGTTGACCGTAGCGAAATGTTGACGAACGGACGGACGGACAGACGGACGGACGGACGTACGACGGACGACGACCCATGGCAATAGCTCAGCTTGACGATGTCAACGTGAGCTAAAAATGTAGGTTCATGATGAGGGAAATATTATCATGGGCACAGGCTTTCATTTTTAAGGGGCGCGATCGCGCTCGCGCTCCACCGCGCACCATAAATTGTGCAATGGTGCGCGCATCACCGCGCCTCATAAAAGTGGTTGAAATCGCGCACCAAAAGTATGTCTATTACGTTGACATAGCGCTTCATAGAGTTCTCAATGTAGGGGGGTACAAAAAGGTTAGCAACACACAACAATTTGTGGTGTGTAAGTGACTGAACGTATGGCAGAGGTACAGGTCTGGTTACTACCCTCTGGTTTATATATATATATAAATACAACTAAACAACAGCATCTAAATACAGGTACCTATACGGTAGCCACAAGTTACCTGCTCGTTTTCTACTATACGTGGCGAGAAGTGGTTTTCTGCCGACGTGAAACAGTCGTAGGGCTGGAGGGGCTACATACGTGGCTACTACGTACAAGTAATTTGGCTAGTTTGTTGATGGATTGTGATGATATTTTGTGCTGAAATATCCAGGTACATGGATTAGAATCTCTAAGGATGGAAATCAGAATAAATAAAACAAGTTTATTTTTACATCCGATCAACTCTTTTATTAATCTGTGTGCTAGTGTTGGGTTGTTGGATGGAAATTAAGAATGTAATCCTGACGAAGCCATTGAATGAATGAAGGTGAAGATGAATGATAATCAGTAGATTGACATGACATCCCAATTTTCGTTTTGGATTTCACTCTAGACTGAGGATTGGTCATGATTCCATCATCACACCCCAAGAGGCATCCCTTTTAAAGGTGTGATTTTTAGTGGAGCTCTTCATCATGCCTCTTAAGGGTGTGATTTTTTAGTGGAGCTCCCCATCATGCCTCTTAAGGGTGTGATTATGGAGCGTGAAAAGTCCCCCTATGGTGTCCTAGGGGAGTCATTAGTAGTCCTCCTGTACTTTTCAAATCTGAAAGCCTGTGGGCAGAAGAGCAAAATTATGGAAATCATACTATAGAAGCAAGAGTGAAATTATACGAATGCACAGTTTTACCTTCCTTCCTACTGTCCTAAATAACAGTGAAACATGGACTTAATGGAAGAAGTAAAAATGTTGGAGGATTTTCAAAATGAGTGCCTGCGCAAAATAATAATCACGCAAAAAACGCAAAAAATGCATCGCATCGGCCCAAACTCCACGACAGATGGCGCTCTCGCTCATGGGCTCAATCTACGAGTATCCTGAGTGTACGAAGGTGCACTGCATGCAGTTTGGCATCGGCCTAGACTGGTACCCGGTCGACAGTTCCACACGCTACACTAACAGCGTCAGTGTAGCAAAGGATACTTGCCGGAGTGAAGGTGGCGAACGGGTACCAGTCTAGCATCGGCCGGGCATTTCATTATTTACGAAAAGTAAACACAGTCGGTATAGGAACTGGTCAAGTCGGTGACGCTCCATTCATGCCCATCAACGAAGAAGGCGGGGCTTATTCTGATTACGGAGATGCGAAAATGCAACAAAAGTATGTAGCGCAGTGCGCTAAACAGCGTGTTATTTTCGTTTTTGTGCCAAACTCTATCGTAGGAAACCGTTCTAGCCCAGCAGAATGCCCTAGTTCCTAGGGCATTCTAGGCCGGTTTCCTGAAATCGGCGATTTCGTACTGTGATGGGTACCCACCTATAAAAATTTATAAGGGAGGTGCGGCGTAGGCTGTGATTGGAGGACACAAACTGTCAATCCTCGGCTCGCCTCGGCATCATGGCCGCATCACGTCAAGAAATACTTTAGGCAATTTGATCAATATTTTAGAATTACATATTTCAATGGTTTAGATGTACCAAGTACTTTAGCACATTGATCAGTATATTATAGAGGAAACCCCTTTATACAGGCTTTCACATTGTAGCCTGCCAATAAGCCACTAAGTACTGCCAATGCATAATTGCACTACCTTGGGTTCTACCACCAGTTGGCAGAGATTAGATCAGTAAAGTCTAACTATTAGTATTACTATTACTGCAACATCTCTTGCACATGCACACTGAGATATGGATGAGTGTGCTTGATTTAAATTATACTGCCAATAACTTGCTGATTATACCCAGAATCATGAGTTAAACTATGATTAAGAAGCACCGCAATGGAGCACAGCCATGTTTTGCTCAATAAGCGAGGTCCAAGATAATAACACCCACATGGATATATGGGCTCCTTTAAAGTTATGGTAAATAAACACTATTTATATTTACTATGAATGTTTTCATGTTTATGTACTCTAGATCTCATAATAATTCTGTGTAAACGTTGTTCAAATACTTCTCAACAACGAACAATCTCACTCCATGCATGCCACTGTGCACAAACTCACAAAAGATAGACCAGGTGGGAAAGCATGAGCTTCAAACTCTTAATCATCTCACTTCATTTCAAACTATTACAGCACAACTACACAACCAAGCATACCCATCTCGGTACCTGTTTGCATTCCGCTTTTCATGAAAATTACTCCAGCTTGTATTTGGGTACAACTTTATTTAACCAGAGAAACCTCAAACAATTTTTTGAAAAAGCTCTCCCTGGCAACATAACATAGAGTTATTAGAAATTAGCAAATCAGTAATGATGGTGCACTATGTTGTGGGTTAATTGTGTCCTGCTTCTGAGCTCCATCACCACCACTTAGGACCAAGCCAAGACAGGTGCATTGAAAAACTTGCTGTGTGTAGGAAATTACTGGGAGTGTCAACAGGACTCTGTGGGATTTCCTTGGATAAGTTAGATTGTACTTTTAATTGATAAGCTGGTAATATTAACATGCAAAGAATGAATTACCAACACATACCAAGATAAACACAATTGGTCAAGTGTTTGTCCTGTGATAGTTTGAAACAAAATGAGCGTGCACAATTTTGGTTCACAAATTTTCCCTCTTAATCTATTTTGTATGAGTTTGTGTACATGGTATGCACACAGTGTGATTGTGTGTAGAAATTTGCGAAGTATTTGAATAGTGTTCAAGTGGAATTATTATACAATTTATAATTATAATACATATAAAGAGTAGAGGTTTGGTAGCAAATACAGGGTGCGAAATTAACGGGAGTCCGGAGTCAAATACGCCCTGATTTACTTTCGGACTCCCTGATTTAACATATGAAGAAATCCGTGTGACTCCCTGAAAAATCTGCCATACTAACTAGTTCGTTCCGGAGCACGGCCTCGCGGAATTACTCTATTTTTTCAGCTAATGTGCAAAGAAAATTGGGCAGACGTGCAACTGCATGAATCTTAAAAATAAGCACATATATGCGTTATTGTTAATATCTTTAATTTTGAACCTCAGACTGCGGACTCCCTCTTTTTGAGGGTAAGGAGTCCGTTGGACTCCCTTGTTCAAAAGTTAATTTCTATCACTGCAAATATAATGGATGTTTCCGGATCTAGCCTTGAACCATGTTTCCTACTAATAAATTAAGAAATTGATTTTGTTTTCAAGCTGGGGTTAACCAGTATGGTTTGATTATTCCTAGATGTAACTAACCCTAGCCTTAGTGGGACCTCTAGTCGAATTTCAACCTCTGCAATAACAGACGCTCAGGGTTCTCCCCAGGATGAAATTGAAACAGGGGGGAGGGGGGGAAGGGAGGGGAAACTAGGGGGGTCCGGGGGGCGTGTTTTTTTACCGTACCACTAATTAATGCATAAAATCGCCACCACACCATAGACGGTATTTGGGGTTCTTGTATATATAAGATAGCCGAGTCGGTGTACAGTTAGTGTTGGGTTCGGTACAGGTTGACTGTTTGTACTTGTGTGTGGTCTGCAGTGCATGCGTGGTACGGTGAAAATACACGAGTCGGGTGTCCTGGTCGAATGGGAATTCTTGACGATCGATTCCCGCACTGTCAAACTTTTATTGGGGTGGAATTTAATCGGGGCGGAGGTAATTTAAACAGGGCGCAACGATTGAAACAGGGGGGGGGGGTTCCCAAACGGGGCGCGCGCGTTTGCGCAACGTAGGGAGAACCCTGACGCTAAATTGTGAGTTTATTCAAATCCAATACTGGCAATAGGCAATACCTACGCACCCATCGATAGCTTCAAAAAAATCTTCCTCATCTTCACTACTGACAATTGCTGCCGAGTGAGACGGTAAATAACCAGAATGTGTTCTGGCTCGTGGAAAAATACCACTGCTTTGGCGACTTGGTCCTTGGATTACAGTGCGTAGTTCTTTAAGCTCACGCTTCACATCGTCCAGGGACGACGTGAGTGCCCGAAAATCATTGGCACTGCCACTTACGCTACCCGTAACTCCTATTGACAACGGCACGTTTGTGAATCTTTGATAAATAATCACACTACTTGCGCCGATTGCAATACCTGTAGCAGCTGCTACAATTGCAACTGTAGTTTCTTTTTGCATTTCGTAAACATAAACATGCAATAAATCATTTAACAGAAGACGCAAAATATAAATAATTGGTAATTCGTACTTTGAACTCTGCTTTCATTGACAACGTTCAACGCCATCTGTGTAATTATTCTACAACTATATCCATCTTTTGCATACCATAGAAATATATAGAGATTAGAGACACAAGTATATTATTTCTATGGTATTAACGTAACCTATACCAGTTTTAACCCAGATAAAATAAGCAATATGAAACCATAACATTTTAACTATTTGATTTTGTCAGTTTTGCGTATGCAACTTTAAATATGCCATTGTATGTATTGTCATCGTATTTTTCGCAGCGCTTCTTTTTTGTGTGTACATCGGTGAATGGTGGATCTTTACAAATATTAAAGTGAGCTGTTAAGAAAGACATTTTTCATACCACACCGGTAGCGAGTATGTTTTCTCTAATCTAATTGTATAAAATCAACCATTAAATATTTCCTTCGGCAATCCCTGCGCGGGGAGGGGAGGTTCAGGTGAAACGGCCGGGCGCTGAAAAATTCTTCCGCCGGTAGTCATCCCCATGATAGAGATCCTAAATCCGAGATCCTTTATAAATTAATAGGATCTCTATGGTCATCTCACAACAATACGTGATGCTAATTAACGGAGAAATTACGATAAAGTATTTTGTAGTTGAGGGTCAAATCTATACAGGTAAAATGTACGTGTAGGTTAAATTTTCAGATTACTTTTTGAATTAGGAAAAAAAATCTTTGAATAAGCAGAAACAGTGGCGGATCTAGAGGGAGTGGGGTTGCACCCCCCCCCACCCTCCGTTCAGCCACTCACTGATGTTATGATTGATACTAGTAAAATGAGGCCAAAAATAAAAAGGTCAGCCTGCAGGCTGACAGAAACTGGGGATTTTCCCTGTGCCCACACAGCTGCCTGAACTGTCAGGTCCTCAACACTAGCCGCGTTCACACGTAGCAAGAAATCTGGTATTATCTTACACAACGAAGCCAAATACGAGCCCAAGAAAAGCGTATCTAAACAGATCCGGCTCATTCATGTAAATACGCAGCTTCCGCAGACCCCGAATAATTTGCCGTGCTAGAAAATACCGATTTCGCTTGGACGGCAGCGCATTTCTCGTGTGAACGCTAAACTACCGGATTCTGGAGCCGCGTAGTTAAACTGTCCCGCCTCGACAATTCCATGTAACGCGATGAACGTCGCAGCCGCGGACCCTCTACGTATGTATCCGGCAGTGGCGCATCTGCATGCGTATTCGCATTGGTCTCTTGATCATAGCCTCGTTCACACGAGACCTCGAATTTCTGAAATACCGATTTCGAAATACCGAATCTGAGACAATACGCGGGCCGAGCGTTCACACGCCGAATTCGGCAGCTCCAAGACCATACGGTAGACTGCAGCTCGAGCTGCGCTGTAACAATCACAAACAATGCGAAATCAACCAACAATGCGCACCAAACTCCGATAAAATACCGTACGACGGCGCGCTCAACAGTTCCAACTTCGCATTCACACGGCACTGTCGAGCGGCGGACGCAGCATAACATACCGGCTTCAAAATCGAGACACACGGCGATTTCTCCATACGCGCGCCAGCTGTCGATCGAATAAATACGGTGCACGGGTACCCGCGCGGTGTGGCCGTCTCACGCTGCTAGCTCACGAATCCCATACCCCGGCGATCGCTCGCCATCAGCATATTGAATAATAAACGCGACGGGTTCCATCGCTTGCGTACGCGCATCGCTTGCATGCAACTTCCACCAGCGGCCCACCAATGATCATCGGTCGAACGCGATGTTTTAGCAGGCCAATCAAGTCAGCAACGAAACAGGAAACCGTTGGAGTGTGCACCGTGAACAGGGTAACACCTGTACGCGCAACTCGTACGGCGTTCTAAAATCGTGAGCGAACATATACGCTGCCAGGCAGCGTACAGAATCGCTAGTGTGTCCTAGGCTTAAGGTAGGGGCACACGAGCGATTTTTATCGCCCGATCGCCGCGAATTTTAAAATCGCTCGAAAAATTCGCCCGTGTGCCCGTTCACGTCGACGCCGATTTTAATCGCCCCGCACGAATCGCCCGTATCCAAAATGTTAGATATTTTCGGGCGATTATTTACGCCGGCGATTATTTACGCTGGCAAATTCGCTCGTGTGCCCGTGTCCGGCGTATTTTGTCGCTTGATCGATTTTTCTAAACCAATCGGACGTGTTGTTGATATCATGTGATGTTAAAATCGGGCGATTAAATTCGCTACGTGTGCCCCTTCATGATCGGGCGATTAAATTCGCTGGCGATTTTATTCGCCGCGATCGGGCGATAAAATACGCTCGTGTGCCCCTAGCATTAGCGTTCACACGAGGAAATGCGCGGTCCAAGAAATCCGGTATTTCTCAAACACGGCAAATTATTCGGGGTCTGGGAAGCCTCGTATTTACATGAAATACCGGATCTGTTTAGATACCTTATTTCTTGGGCCTCGTATTTTGCCTCGTGTGAACGCTAAATACCGGATTTCTTGCTACGTGTGAACGCGGCTTATTTAAAGCAGTTCGCAGCTCGCAAATACCGTATTTCTGGAGCCGCGAATCAGCGTGTGAACGCTCGGCCGCGTATTTGTCTCAGATTCGGTATTTCGCAAATACCGTATTTCTGGAGCCGCGAATCAGCGTGTGAACGCTCGGCCGCGTATTTGTCTCAGATTCGGTATTTCGCAAATACCGTATTTCATAAATACGAGGTCTCGTGTGAACGAGGTTCGTATTTCATAAATACGAGGTCTCGTGTGAACGAGGCTACTGTCACCCCCGCCCGACTATCACATTGGGGATCACTAAATCCTACGCACACACATCTCCTTGAGTCACGCCCCGTCATGTGGTCGAGGTTGCCGAATAACTGTTTACGATTTCAAGTTCGTCGTATTTTCCCGGTCTAACGCGGGGGCATGCTACATAGGGCATATACATGTATATGTTCGCAATGGATTAAAGTTGGTGCGAAAGCAATTTTGTTGAAAATAACTCTGATATAATATGAAATAACTTAAATAACTCTAATCATGGGCGCAAATGACATGGGAACACGGGGGACACGCCCCCCCCCACTTTTCGAAGGGTGGGGGACACAATATCAAATGTCCCCCCATGTTTTTCAACATGTGTTTCTGCCTAATTATAAGCCCCTTCTATAATATTATTATTTTGTGCTTAGAAAATAAAAAATGAGAAAGTATATAAAAAATGAGTCCGATTGATAGCCTAAACTGAATATTGGAACCGCGACAGTATACGGCTGCTAGTATAGGTGCCCTAGGTTGGGGATATTGAAAGGATTTGCTAGTGTAACGGCGTCGGCCTCTTCTCTGCCCCGCCCTGCGCGCAGTTCGCTTGCCGAACTTTTCGGTGTCAGATGTTTCGCACCTCGAAAGGTGCGCGCAGCTTCGCAAGTAGAACCGCCGTCTCTAAAACGATCCTCTTCGGTAGTGTTCGCTGCGTAGGTAGTACCTCTTCACGCGAAAGATTTCTCTTCCGCGCGTGCGTTGTGTAAGACTAAGACTTATGAGAAGGTGTGAGGATTCGTACGGTTACAGCTAGGCGTACCCTTCCTCGTCGGTAAGATTGACGTGTAGACGTGAGGAGAAATGAAGGCGCAGGCAAAAGTGTGCTAAGAGTGAATGACGTTTATTGCAACACAACGAAAGAATGGGGAAGATACACGCTGAACGCACCGGTGGTCAAACGAGCAGCTTTCATAGAGCTTTCTGAGTCGTACTCATTCGTTTCGGCGCTGGTGTTAATTCCAGAAATACATCTCCCACACAATTTTTTACTCGCTAACTCCGAAATACAAATCAGTAGGCTCCTGGATAACTCCCTACACAAACCCTCTATTTCCTCGAGAACTCTAAGAAGTCTCTCCGTGTGTACTCTCTGAGAAGTTCCTAGAAGTCTCTCCTAGAATTAAGTCTCTAGAAGTACCTCGCTTCTGTTGAAGTCTGCCCTCGTTTCAGGCGCGCGGTGCCCTTTTATACCGAGCGGGAACTTGCGTCATGAGTCAGCCCTCAGTCAAATAGCTAAATATAACAAGGAGAGGATCGCGGATTGGCTGTATGCTTTTCGCCTCAAGGACGCCATCTATAGACCATAATCAGCTGAAACGGCTGTGCAGACCACAGCAATAGAATAGAAGCTTCTATTCTATTTCTGTGGTGCAGACCCGAACCCAGAGACAATAGAACACTAATCTGTTCTAGGCCAAATATGACCAAATATGGCAAAGATTTGGGCCAGATATGGCGGCGCTTCCTCTATTAGAGTACCGAAGTCTGACGTCACGGTGGCATGACATCGAACCCCCTATTTCTAAACAACCCACTGGCTCCATAGCATTAACTGCGTGAAAATGTTGTGCGCATAGATATCATATAACAACAGCCGTTGTTATATTATGATATCTATGGTTGTGCGTACGTAAAACACGAGTGTGTGCGCTGCAGACAGCGGTAAAGCATCGGTAGCAAGTCGATCTTACAATATTTAATTAATTAATTATTTAATTTAATTTTTTTTTAAATTATTATTATTAATATTTTCCCGTTGCTTTTCCCTTCCATTCTTTGGAAATCTATAAAAACTGCAATAATGACTCAGAATGATGGTTACAATCGGGTACAAAACACGACACCATTTTCACGCAGTTAATGTTACCAGAGCATATGATTGTTTAGAACCAGTGGGTTCGTTGTCATGCCACCGTGACGCCATCACTTCGGAGCTCTGTTACAGCTCACGCTAACGTGGCACAGACGTGATTTTTTTTCCTAGGTGAATCAAGAACATAGGGCTGTAATGAGCGCTGCTATTGGTTGAGCTTGTTTTGTCCGCTCAATGACGTCACGAATATCGTAATATACATAGCACATCCAAAATTATTACTTCGATATGATCGAAAGCCTAGCGCCGGGACGTCGAAGTCGTGAAAGCGTCGGAAAGTATCGAATCCCATCCGTTTTCTAATATTTTTTGTTGTTTGTCTGTATTTTTCCTATCTTTATCTGTTTAACAATTTTTTTTC